TTTTCATTGATCTGCTCAATCTACACTATTTCTGAAGCTTTAAAATTTAATAATTAAAGATGAAAATATATTTTAAGGCTATCATAAAGATTTTCAATATTGAATCATATTTTTCGATACTATTTGAAGGTGTGCTTTACTTTGATTGTTTAGAGCCACGGCTCTAAACATACCGTACTATTAACTAAATCAAACTTGAACATCCCATCACAAGAGTAACCCTTGCCAACAAATATACAATTTTTTGTCAAAATGAGTTTATCATACCCAATGATCATTTTAAAACCCTTCTTGTTCAAAATACATCCTGAAATAAGGTTTCTTCTCATATCCGGCAAGAAATATGCATTTTCAAAGGTAAGAAGCTTACCCGAATTAAATTTTAGTTCCACCATGCCCTTTCCAAGTATTTTTGTCATAGCTTGGGTTCTAAGTTGAACCAAATTTGCATCACCTACTAGTTCTTAAGTCTTAAACATATCTCTATAGACACATGAATGGTAGCGTTGATATTGACCGACTATACATTAACTTTATTGATCATATTTACTTCTATAACCATTACTACAAAGTGTTCATATGTGGTCATGTTCATTTGGTCTCTAGGCTTTTTGAGCTCTTTTTGGTGTCGATACTCTCTTGAATAGTGTCTTGATTTTTCACTTACATAACAAGAGGCTTTTCTTTTATTTTTGTTGCCATTAGACTTTGGGTCTTAAGAATAACCATTTGGACCTTAGGAAATAAAAGCTTCTTGTTATATGGAGCACTTGATTTTTGCTCAACAGAAGTTTGCCTTGTTATAAAAAATTCATTGTTTCATCTTTCTTTTTTCAAAGTATATTCTATTTTTTAATTCGAATAGACCTTTGAAGTTGAACCAAATCAAGGTCCACTTTCTTATATTACATTTTCTTTTGATATTCTTTTCAAGATGGGGGTAGCTTGTGAACAATGGAGCCTACTAGAAAAAAAATCATCTAATTGAATTCCACAATATTTAAGTTCATTGACTATAATCTGCAACTCATATACTTGAAATTGGTTTCAAGTTTTAATTACATGGAATAAAGTGCCAATGATGTCTAAAATACTACATGTCATCCCAAGAGGTACACGAGGAAAATTTTATAACTACATTAGCACTTGACTTAATACGATACTTCCATGTATTTCAATCAATGACAACAAATACCTAGACCTAAATCTATAATATATAGTAATCACTTTTTTCCACATTAACAATCAAGAAATACAATATTATAATTTATCTATATACAAAATACATTTTTATATACATAATTATATAAAAATTAATTAAATATATACAATGAGACCATTTGCTTTTAGTACAAGAATGTCCCAATCTTATCGATCATTAGATGTGAAATTGATTGGTTAAGGATGTATTATTGATTGAACACAATAAAAAATAAATTTTCTTAAATATTGCGACACACGTCAATCTGTTGAATTTCTCACCCAATGACTACAAATGATTATGACCTCTTTCTTGGTTTTTTTCTTCTTTTTCAATGGTATTGGAACTGTTGCATTAGACACATCTCAACAAATTATAAATCAAGTATGGATATAGAAAGAGAAGGGAGTCAAACTCCCTGTTTGGCCATAGAAATTACACATTCCCAAACAATGATAAAATATAACATGATGGTTGGAAACTATGTCTCTAATAATATCAAAGGTGGGTATCAATCTCCACCGGATCAGTTGCTCTCTTTTAGCCCATAGAATAACATTATGTGGATGGTAATCCACAATGATGCACTGGGAATAACCTTCGAAGCCTGAGCCTCATTAGCTGAACAGGGTTGTAAGGGGCCGTCCCAACTTGTCCTGGGTTGCCCAAAGAGCTCCTTAGCTGAGCAGGGTTGCAAGGGGCCGTCCCTACTTGTCCTGGGTTGCCCAAAGAGCTTCTCGTAACAGTTCAATTTAATTTTTCCGACAGGAGGGGACCAACTTGGCTTCTAAAAAATATATTCTTTGGAGCTAGATGACCAAAGATGAATTGAAAATAAGATCATTCACGAGCAGAAAAACTGGTATTAGCATCCCATTCAACTTCTATTGTGAGCATAAGATCAAGATTTTCCTTCAAACGCTTTGTTACTGCAGTCCTTCCACCATTCCACAAGAGAGCTCTGTCGTGTCGTCATCAGGGATGAAGGCACTAGAGGAGAGAGTCCAATGCTGGAGGGAGCAACCCATTGAATGTTGGCCAAGTTGAAAATTTTAAACCAAAGTTCATAAATGATTGGAAAAGCAAGAAGAGATGGTCGTTCTTCTCTTCATCTGCTTTATCCATAATGTAAATGTTTCCCTCTTTCTAAGATTTTCTAGGAGTCAAATAAAGGCCTGGACTTTATGGGGGATTGAGAGCTTCCAACCACATTCCAGTCCAATAATTGGGGCACGATGTCTCTTATAGAAAGGCTGGGAAGCTTTGTTTCTTGGAGCATCACTACATTTGGCTTGAAATTTTTAAGTAAGAGCTACAACTCCCCCTAACCACAAACATTCCAACTAACTATCTTCATGGACAAGCGAAGACAATCCATATATGGTGATCAAAGGCAGACTGGCAGACACAAAGCTCAAGCTTGAACTTGAGGAATCCTCCCTAGTAATGGCGTTAGAAGCAGTTCAAATAACCACACCTCCTGCCGGCTTCTGAAGTCTCCTGGTGGCAACCCTGGCTTGAGTTTGGTTAGCAGTCCCCTCTTCTTTTTCGAACACATTTTCTTTCCCATTCCCGTCACCTCTTCCCACACTTGCAGAAACTAAAAAGAGCCCCTTGTCCTGCTTAGCCTTCTTCTTCACCTCTTCCTCGTTAGCCGCTCGTAATCTGTCTCTCATGACTTGTAATACTACTGCAAGAAGTCATGAGAAGGTCACACTTGATACCCAAACACCTTTTTCTGTTTTTGTTATGAACAACCTTCCCAGCTTAAATTCACTATAAATATGATCATTATGCCCCTCATTAATAAGTAAAGGCAAAAATAAAAAAGGAATTTTCAATTAGAAAAAAAAATTTCCCCACGTACCACTCCCTTTTTCCTATCCCTTGTGTTTCTCTCTAAACCATTAGCTCTCTCCATGACCCAACATATACACAATCCATCATTGCCTGAAAATATTGCTCCAAGCATTGGGCAAGCTGTCAGTTTCTTCACACTTTGCAAATGGCCAACTAGTTCATCCACCTCATAGAAATTTTGGGGCAAACAAAAAATTGCTACAAAATTTGCCACATCAAAATCTACATTTCCTAGAAAACATTTGACCTTGGACTCTAAGGCTGTTAGATCATAGAAAATAACTCCTAAGAACCTGATTTTCTAATTGGTTCAAATATTAGTGACTGGTTAATATCAGTCGATACTAAGAAGCAATGCCCGCAAAACAAAACAATGAGTCTCACCATGCAAACATCAAACCGTATTAAATTTTGACCAAAACATATCAAATTTCAACCATAAATGCAATTGCACAACAAAAATTATCAGAGAACACATCAAAGCTATAACGCCCATTACCCATTTATCTATACCCAGCCCCTTAATACAAAGAACACCAAAACATATGAAAACTCCACCAAAAGGTAAACAAATTCAAGATAAAAAACACCAACAAAACAAATTGCAGAAAGCAAGGAGCCAGCGCATGGTCTGTAAACTTGCACGTATTCCATGATCATAGAAAACAGCATTAAGCTGTCATAGTTCACCTCATTTATTCTTATCATCAAATACTTAAGTTTCACCCTTTCTCTTCCTCTTCCCAATTTTCTTCAGTAAAAGAACCACAAATTTGCAGGGGCACTGGGGCAATACTGATGAGAAGAATGAGGGGTTGCTCGTAGTCAAGAAAGGAGAAAGTAGTTGAGTGGAAGCAAAAATCATGGGGGATAAAGAGGACCGTTGCAATTGGAAAGCAAGGAAGAACAGAGCTTGGGTTGGGCCAAGGAGACCAAGTGGTTTAGAGAGAGAAAAAAGGGAAAGAGAAGAGGTAAGAGGTACACAACGGTTTTCTAAATAATGTTTTTCAACTTTTTTCCGTCATTCTATAATTAGGGAAAAAATGGAGATAACCACACTAAGTTGCTGACAAAAGAAAGAGTGTTAGGGAATCAGGTGTGACGACCTTATCAACATGACAGTATGTGGAGCATCTTGTAAGGGGGATCACGCAATTTTCCCAGTACTTTACTTATAGTGCCCTAGAGAAATATTATTTAGGGCTTCTATACTAATAGTGTGATACATTAGTATTCCTTAAGTATGCTACCTATCATGTCCACCATCCATCCCAAAGAGCAGCTTCAGATGACAAAGGTAGACCTGAACAGAAAAGCATCCCATCTCTATTACCGTCATAAAGGTAGAAGTGTAGCATGGCTTCACTACTTCTAAACATTTTGTCTTTCGCAAGTTTGGTAAATCACAAACGATTTTGAATAGATAAAACAGTAAACTTCAGATGACAAAGGTAGACCTGAACAGAAAAGCAGCCCATCTCTATTACCGTCATAAAGGTAGAGGTGTAGCATGGCTTCACTACTTCTAAACATTTTGTCTTTCGCAAGTTTGGTAAATCACAAACGATTTTGAATAGATAAAACAGTAAACTTCAGATGAGAAAGGTAGACCTGAACAGAAAAGCAGCCCATCTCTATTACCGTCGTAAAGGTAGAGGTGTAGCATGGCTTCACTACTTCTAAACATTTTGTCTTTCGCAAGTTTGGTAAATCACAAACGATTTTGAATAGATAAAACAGTAAACTTTCACTGAAATGAAGTGAATTTGGGCACTGGCTCCATTGATTATCATGTTCAATTCCAGCAGCTTGGAAATTCCCGTGGTAGACAGCCAAAAAGAAAAAAAACATGATGTGAACACCCTGAAGAGATGTAGCCCATGCTCATAAGCCAACCATGATGTGGAGAGAGAGAGAGAGTTTCCAGGAAAGTACAAAATTACAAATAAACTGCAACTTTTGTCACACTATTGATCAACTAGTTCACAGATAAGAACACTCGTAACAGAACTACAGAAAGGATCAAACCATTGGCACTGTCAGAAAAGTTTAATTCCCAATAAATATCATCTGCACAACTTGGGATCCGAGGACAAGTGGTTATGTTTTTCAGGTCGCAACACTACACTGTGGGCCAGGTACGAATCCCACACCAATCTACCCAGAAGAACACATCTGCACAAGGTAGTGTTCATATTCTCCAAAAACGATTAACTTTTCTGCACTGGAAATTTACAGACTTTATATGACCATTTACCTATTTTACACACAATACCATTAAATGTGGATGTCCAAATGCTTCTCTGTGATGAGCCTAGTTGTGCCCTTGACCGGTTTAGTTCATCAGCAGCCTGCTTCAGTGAATCGCTAGCATCACCCAATGCCCAAACCAATGAAATATGGGGCCTTGGATTCTGCAACCAATAGAACATAAGCCATTTAACCTTCTCAATAGAACATAAGCAATTTACAAAACCCGCGACATAAGAGCTATGAAAATTTAACCTTCTCAAAAAAAAAAAGAGCTATGAAATTTAAGTGTCATTCTATAACCTTGATTGATCAATCTGGTCTTCCTCAAAGCTTCATTAGGGAAGGTATTCGCTATTGGGCATACTGGGTTAGCAGCAGCATCTAATCTCGACAATGGATAGAATGTAAAATGCCGGTTATTTTCAATCTTTTATATCAGGGCATGGGACTGTTCATCCCAAACCACCTAACATTGATCACCAAAGCTAGGTCATGCATTCAGCCACAGAAACGGTTGTAAAAGTTTTCCTAAAGGCACTGTAATTTAGGATACAAAACTTGTAAGCATAGTTTAGAATTCAGAGTCATAAACCTTGTGTTTCAAGAAGAATCAACACCTTTGGTAAGTCAACTGGATGTCAGACATTAAAAATTAGTTCTGACTCCTGCCCCCTAACCCCTAAGCTGAACCCGAATGCCAACACCAATCCAATGCATTATCAATCAAAAGAAGACGAAGATAACTGGAAAATACTATATGATTTCAAGCTGACGAAGGGCGGTCAATACCAATTGATTTTTAGAAGTAATTTAAAACTTGAACTAGGGTCAGGACTCGCCCCCAGGTCCAGAGCCCGAGTCAACAGTCCACGTTGGTCAGAGCATCTGAAAGAATAACAAAGTAGGGTTCCTGATCTGATGAGACCCAGCCAATTGGAGTCACTGAATTTTGAGTCACTAATTTCCACAAATGATGGGAAAGTATTTGGATGCTGCTAAGCTCAAGCAAAATCACATGATGGTGAATTACCCATCTGGATGCTGCTATGCTCGAACAGAATTCATATAATCGAGGTTTTAGTGGAAAGTAGCTAACTCTTCAAGCAACACATGATATAACATCTAAATGTGCCGACTTACTTCTCGATTAGTTTTTAGTTTTCATTAGTTATTTTTTATCAACACAAGTGAACTAAAACTGAGAAAAGTAACCTCATTAGGAATATAATTCCCAGATGAAACTCTTTTCATTTTATATTAAGTGTGCTCCTGTAATTTTATATTAAGTGTTCCTTTTCCTGAAACTTTCAAGGCTATTCAGACCGTCCTGTACACTCTAGTGAACCTCATGTGCATGTGAACCTGCATGTGCATTAACATACACACATGCAATTTTACAAAGTAGACTACCATTAGCTGTGACAATTTTTTAGTTACCTCGGTAAGATTGAATATCTGAAAGACAACCCATGCCAAATCATATGCTCTCAGGAACAAAAATGTATGATGATATGGATGACAAAGGGGTCTTGCATAGTTCAGCATAAACAATTGGAGAGCTAATATTCGAAGTCTTTCCATAGGTGATAAACTTTTTTAGATCTCTGATGGAAGCTGCAAAGACAGTTGGTCTTTCATAATCCCAGTATCTGAAATCCCAGTATCTGAAAAAGAGTGGCATGCCTTGCAAGAAGGCATAAATCCATAGATGATGATAGAATCACCAAAGCCTACTCCCATCTACTGATTAGAGCACTCATCACTCTCCAAAGAACCATCTGTATGAGATGATGCATTCTTAACTTCTTCCGGTGAAAATTGTCAAAGTAATGTGAATGTACAATCAATCAAGAAAGCCCTATCATATGATAAAACATGATGAAAAGCGAACCACACCTTCCCAGGGACTTGAAGTACACCATGGAAGCACTCTACAGAATATGGGAGAAGTTGGCCCAGATGGTGTGAGTTCTATCAGGTAATCAAGGATTTAAGATGATCCATCAGGCTTTATTTGACTGCACCGCTTTTGAAATTATGCATGAATATTTGTCTGAGCCGCTTTTCATATATTGCCACCCACACTCACTAACAGGACCCATGCAAACAAAAGAGTGGCACCATGAGACACTCAATTCGTCATTTACCAATTACATTAAAAGTACCTCAGCCACGTATACAATATGCAAGACCAATGTCCCACTGTGGGCTAAAATGCCCAATCTATCATTATTAGCTTGCTTAGAGAGTCCATATTGCTATGAATGAGGGTTATATGCCAGGTGATGATGAAACGTACCAAATACTATCGTTCCCATGGCTTGGCCTCCCCTGCTAGATGGGTTTGTGAAAAATGACAAGGTTGGATTAAGAGCTATGGCATCTACTCTGTAGGAGACATATGTACTCTGAGGAAATCATTTGGCATTTCATTAACATAAGCCACTACTCTCAAAAATGAAATCAAATTTAAGGTCAAAGGCACATTTTTTTGTAAGATTTATTAGCTTTCAAATGGGTTGGATAGAGAGTAATTCCAAACTGGTTGTAGAAATAATTCAATGCATATCAACAGTTACATGGAGAAGTTGCACCTTGCTGGTCAGTCAGGGATATAAAGTGATCCCTTCATCTGGGATTTACAGTGATATCAGCCATATCCATCATGAGAATCATGTATTCAGCATAATATTTAAGCTATTGGGTGGGAAGGTTCAAGATATCTTTCTTTTGCTTGCAAAATGGATAACCTTCCTTACCCTTTTCTTAGTTTCGTATTTAAAAACTACTCTCAGCTTTCCTAAATTTAGATTTAGATCCTACAATTTGAAGTTGTAGTCCTGTAAGTAATTCTCTATGTACCATTTTGTGAGTGTACTTTTCCAAAAAAAGGGAGTGCCACAGTTTGTGGTTTACTGCTACTCCCCATTTATCTGGTATATGTCTTGGGGATATCGGCAATGTATAATGATAATTTTATTTATCTAAGATCTTAACCAGTTAAAAGTAAAAAAGATACACACTTTTGGCATAATATGGGAAATCTATGAATTGATTCTTTTAGGATACACTCGTTGACAATTTCTATTTTGATAAGTAATGCATTTCTAGACAATTGATTTAATTATTCTTAAAGTGTGATTTGTTTTTCCAAACAAAATACATGGAGCTACTAAAGTGCCTTCATCCTGCCAAAAGCAACAATTAAAAATGCACGCAAACCCAACATTGTGCTAAAGAAGTTGCATCCTTTACAAGCAATTCATACTATCGTAGGAATATCCTAAGAATGCATTTTGCAAAGCATCAAACCATCTAAGAAAGAGAGCACGCCCAGTAGATTTTTCAGAAATATGGAAAAGTATACATCTTATGAAATTCATACCTTGTAAAACTCTGGGAGATTATGCAACCTATATACTTCATTGACGAGGTTGATCTGCCTAGTTATCTGCGAGCACAAAACAATGAAGTCAATCTGGACGTAATGTACATAAAAAGGCTGACAGAGGACTAAAGTAGAATCACGTTATTCGATTAAGATAGCTATCGTGGAGGTGCTTCAAGTGTATACAAGCATACAATAGAAAAACGAGGATCACTGTTTGAACCATAGTTGGAGTAGCATAAAAATGAAGGCCAAAGAAGTCAACTAAACACTAAGTCTTATCCCAGAAAAAAAAAGCAGTAGCTCTCATGGACCCTTAGATCAAATGCACGTATAATGGATGCTGTCTCCATATCCCAAATTTTAAAAATCTGCCAAATCACCAAACAATGATGACTACATAAGCACATCCATATCATCTCTGGCAAGGTTTGTAGTCTCTTAGGCTATGTCAAAGATTTCTTGAGGAATTTTCAGGTAATTATCTCGTGAGATTCGTTCTGCACGTGTTCTGCACAATTTTTGGGAACTACAAGTTCAGCTAGTTCTCATATTCAAGGCCAATAAATCACAAACCACTCTCCCTAAAAGGCTTCCTTAATCCTTACAAGCATTCTCCAAGGGTTTAGCAAGTAGTGATCGAGTATTTTTGTCATAGGAACACTTACAGTGGTGGCATGCTACAAAAAGCTCCAAGCCTGGGAGAAAAGGATTCCTTCTATTGACCTACTCCCTCGTGCATGTGCCCCACTCATGAGGAAATAAGAACCCACATGCTAAGCACTTAGAACAACATAGGCTCATAGTTATGCCAGTGCCTTTTCTAGGGGACAGTCCTGAAGTGGGAACATGGTTCCACACTCTGGAGCGAGCTCTCGCTCCAAATTATAAGGGATTTTAATCCATTTAACGCGGTTCTTGATCCTACTTAGAGTGGGATCTAACTTGTGATCGTGATCCATAGACAATAGATATATGTTTAGCAATGTTCAAGGAAATGCTAGACGTGGCCCTCCTACTGGGGTGGGGCTTGTCTTTTTTTTTTAGGTTTGTTTTTTTCTTTTCCTTTTTTGTGGTGGTGGGGAGGGGGTATGTTCAGCAGCCTAGGCACCAGGAGCCAGCCGAGGATCCCCAGACATGGTCTCTATATGTGTGCGTGTGCATGTGCGTGTGCATGTGCGTGTGCGTGTGCGTGTGCGTGTGCGTGTGCGTGTGCGTGTGTATGTGTATGTGCATGCGTGTGCGCGTGTGTGTATGCGCATGCACATGTGTGCGTGTGTCTACAAGTATATATAAGCACCTGAAACATATTGGAATCATTGATCACATTCCACAATTGTAATAAATCAGTAAATGTAAGACTAAAGTTAACTAACAACCCCAAAGAGTAAAATATAATAGCAATAATATATCCAAAATTCAAATACCAATTCATCATGGCTGAATATGCACTCCCATTGCTCCATGTTGGGAGCATTACCAAAATATCCTATTATAAGCTCTCTTGATGGTTCACAATGAATCCAATTAAAAAAAAAAAGTTAGATTTGAGATGATTTCTGAAACTTGTTGTTTTTTTAAAACTCAAAAGAACTTCAGGAACCACAAATTTTTATTTTTATTTATATCCTAGGTTTGAAGAACCCTCAAAGTTTTCTTGGGGGGTTAGAATAATCCCCTCCTCCCCTAAATTTTTGTCCCCTTAGAAGATCGAGAAAGGCAATCTCTGGCCCGGGGCAAGGGGTGGCAAAGGCATACTTCTCAGCTGAGACGTAAGGCGCCCGCCTAGGGCCATGGTTCCCAGATACTGACAAGGCCTAAGCAGGGTGCCTAGGTGGCCTAAGTGGTGTCTTGCGGCTATCTAGGCAGTTGAAAGGCCATGACGGAATGCCACGACATTATCTTGAGGCCATGTCCGAGGTGGCATCCTGCTCTTGTTCCCATTCTTGCTCTTGCTCCTGCTCCCGCTCCCGCTCCCAACAACTTTTCAAAAAAAAAAATTGAGTATAAATAGTATGTATGGAATTTTTACCTCCAAAAAGAAAGGGGAGGGGCTGTATGTAAAAAAATGAGGCAGATCACAAAATCGTACCACCCAGGGCTATAATGGTTCAATATTTACAAAATTGTGATCTGATGTTCGTTCTTTTGCAAGAGCGTCCATGCTTGAGTTTGCTTCTACACACGCATACGTATACAAGATCGTGAACAAGCATGTGAAGTCTCGTATCTACCGAGAGATTGGCTCCAAGTTCCATGGAGAGGAAGAGGCTTTCTACACACATCGGATTATGCTTTTGGAGTCCCCCCCCAGCACTGAAAGCGCTAGGAAAATTAGGATTGAAAAGTTATCACCTGCTAGAAGGCCTGAAACTCAACAACAGTAGAGTTTGATGTCCCAATTGGACCTTTGAAAGGGAGGAGTGGTTGGACTGGTGATCACAAAAGATGCCTCCGACCCTTGGCAGTCCAGGGATTCCGAGAGTGTACCCGTCAAAATTGAACTCGACATTATTTATTTTCAGCAGTAGCCATAAACCAGGCCTTTGGATCATCGTTAGTCTAGCTCTGATGATATTCGATCGCTACTCTATGAAGTTTACCACATAGCACCCCCTGATATGGGGCTTGTTTCTAGTCCAAAAAACTACAGTAGCCAGGATGTGGTCTTCAACACCATCTGGAAGAGACATTCCCATGGAATATCCTCCTATTCCTTTAGAGCCATATGTTCCAACACAGCGGTAGGAATGCGACCCTCCATAAAATAGGCCAGCAACTGCTGGAGGGGGACAGTAGAGGCAGCAAAACGTTGCTGGATATACTGGGGCCCCACCTGAGACCAGAGGATGGAGGCCCAAATGCAGTAGGCAAAAGGACAATGGATAAAAAGATGGTCTACAGACTCCTCTCCCATACATAGGGAACATTAATTAGGTAGTTGGAGGCCTCGGGGTTGGAGTTGATCAACCGGCAATATTCTTCTTTAGAGTGTTGCAATTCGGTGTCTGGACAGCAACTATTGGTTTGATTGAGATACAACTAGGTAGGAGGAGTCCAAAAAGATATCCAAGGGAGAGGAAGACCAAATCATCCAAGTGTCACCCGATCTCGAGATGTATAGAATATCCAGTAGGCTAAGGAGAGAAAGCAACTCTGGTGTCTTATAATTGAGTAACTATAGGAGATCAAACCAGGGACCGCTAATCACTTCATAAGCTAAAGCCACAGCAGTTTCCTCATTGGCAGCCAAAGAAAAAAGGTTAGGAAGGGATTGTGGGAGGGTTGACTCCCCAAACTTAATAGGTTGTTTGGCAATTGGAAGTTGGAATAAGAAGTAGGAGTTTCCATTTCTGAGATCTGGAAGCACTAAATTTGAGTACCTGGTAATGGAAAAATATTGTGTTCGGTTAAACTGTCTAAAAATTCTGGGAAATTATTTTTTGTTCAACATGGGATTTTGTAAACTTGGAAATCTAGAAATTAGTCAGTCTTAATTGTTCATTGAAGGTTTCATTGATGAAAGGGTGATATTTGTAAAATAAATGGGTTTTGAAATCATAGCTCATCCACGTTGGGCCCAACAAAAAGGACAGTCTAGATCACATAAAAACACTATAGCTCAGTAGCAATGCAAGCAAGCTTGAGTACTTCAATTTTAATGTTTTCTATACATCAATTGAGCTAAAATCTTTAATACTTCTCACACTCACGCACATGTAAAAAATATTTAAAAACTATTTTGAAAAATAAAATGACCAAAATATCCCAAATATTTGAGGGTATTTTGGTCATTTTAGTTCATTCAAATTATTTTGTACATTTTTACAAATGCATCCCAAGGAGGAGCACGCACCTTCCAATTCCATTTTAAATTGATTTTGGAAAAAAGAATAAGATGGCCCAATATCATCAAAATGACAAAATCGTCCACATAATAGTTACCTAACGCGCTATTGATCTCAACTGTCTAATCTTGATTGGATGGTACAAAGCATGTGCTGATATTCTTATATATATATATATAGAAAAAACTAACAATAGCTAGGCAGCTATAATGAATAGTAATATAGGTGGAATCCCAACCGTCAGATCTTCATCATGTGGTTCAGAATGCATATCATCATATGAATTTTAATTTTTTTTCTACATATCTAATTAAGATGAAATTTTGGGTGTATATACCTAACACTATTGTGCACCATATAAAAATATAAAAAAATTACTTTCAATAATTTACTTACCCCCATCATTTTTCAGGGGTATTTCAATCATTTTATATTTTGAGAAATATTTTTTATATATTTTTTAATTGTGCGCCCTATTTTTTAGTACATGCTTCTAAAATTTCATTATGATCCTATTTCTAGAAAACTATTAAAATTCATATAGTGATATGCATTCTGAACCACATGATGAAGATCTGACGGCTCTCATTCCACTTATATTACTATTCATTATAGCTGCCCAGCTACTGTAAGGTTTGTCTATATATATAGGGTGCGGTTTCTATAAGGTTGCAACCTTAAACAATCCAATTAAGGTGCACCTCAAAATTTTATCATCACATGTAATTTTGTTGTAAAAAATTATTAGGATTGTCTTTAAATCTATTTTCATATCTAATTATAAAATCTTAAATTCTAAAAATGGTTAAAATCAAGTAGATCTATTAATATATCAAAATTTTCAAAATAGACGGTCTAGATAATGTGTTGCAAGATGCATTATTTATGAGACTCAAAAAAAAAAAATTTCATATTCATACATCTCGATATCGAGACGATCGATTAGAGGGTTTTTCAACATTAAAACAATATTTCCGATAGATTTTTTAGGTGCATCTGTGATTCTACATTTTAAGATTGCAACCTTAAATAAACTTTCCCATATATATATGTACACTGTCAGCCCAAGGCTGATAGCTATAGTGTTAGCCAATGGCCCAGATTAAATCTGGGCCGATCTGATGGTCAAGACCTCATTTCGTGTTTGAATTTTCATTTTTTTTTCTACAAATCCAAATCACTTGAAATTTGGAGTGTCTATTCTTCAGAAATAGA